TGCATGAGACAAGTGCTCGGGCCTGGTGCACTGGGAAGACCCAGAGGGATCGGGTGGAGAGGGAGGTGGGAGGGGGGACCAGGATGGGGAATACATGTAAATCCATGGCTAATTCATTTCAATGTATGACAAAAAACCACTGCAATGTTGTAAAGTAATTAGCCTCCAACTAATAAAAATAAATGGAAAAAAAAAAAGATGTCATTGGTTAGGTGTTTGCTATATTTTTAAAATTTATATAGCTTTTACTGGGATATATGTTTTGCAGTTGATTATGAACCTCAATCATTATTTTTGAATAATAACTAGGATTTTACTTAGCAGTATTAGCCAAAAGGTCAAAAATAATGGATAAGTACCTATAATATAATCAGTCAGCATTTACAGAATGATTACTAAACATCTTTTCTCTTATGTATGCTTACAAAAACTGAACAATTAAAAGAAAATGTTGATAGAGCTGAATATATCATTTTAGAGTTATTTTTAAAACATATACTTGTAAAGTAATTAATCATGATACTTAAGAGGCACTTCAATTGAAGTATAGGACTACTTAATTAAATAGAAGTATGATATTGCAATCTAATTATAGTAGAAGTGTGATATTGCAATGAGACAATAATTTTTGAAAAAGAATAAAAAAGGAAGAAATTAAGCTATCCTTATATCCATATGTTAAATTTATCTAGAGAGAAAAATCCAATGAAGTCTCCAAACGTATAAGAATACAGTGAGTTAAACCAGACTTTTAACTTCAAAAGCAAATACATTAAGTACATATTAGTAGTATTCCTGTACATAACTCCTACAAAAAGACACCTAAAATGGAAAACATTCTATTACAATAATAGCAAAAATTCTAATGTATCTAGAAATAACAGAAAAAAGTGTAAGAGCTTTATAGAGACTCTATATAATATTTTTGAAGGACATAAGACCTAGCTAAATGAAAACTATGTGGCTTGTGAGAGTCAATATTATAAAGATATTGATTCTATCCAATATAAGAAATATAATCAATTTGAATTAAAATTTCTACATTTATTGTGAAAATTAAGACCAGTTCTAAAATATAAATGCAAGAGTAAAGAGTGAAAAATGCAGAAAGAATAAAAAAAAAATTTGGAAGATAAAAAGTATATGGGAGCACTTGACTTTGAGATATCAAGATTTTTGAGACATTGAAATTAAAACAGTTTCTGTTCAGTTTGAAATTCATTTAGATATAGAAAAGCAGAAAATAGCACAGCCAAATAAACAGCATAAAAATATTCTTCTATTTTAGGAAAGATAGGAAAGGATAAGATATTCAATAAATGTTGTGGGGACAACTTATTATTCATAAAGGGGGAACAAAGTAAGCGTTTACATTGTTGCCTGCACAAAAATGTATTACAGGTGGACACATAACTGAAATATAAAACCAAAACTTTTGATTTTGGTTCAGGGAAAGACTTAAAAGGGGCTTCCCAGGTTGGCTCAGTGGTAAAAGAATCCGCCTGCCAGTGCAAGAGACTCAGGAGACATGGCTTTGATCCCTAGGTTGGGAAGATCTCCTGGAGGAGGAAATGGAAACTCACTCCAGTATTCTTGCCTGGAAAATTCCATGGACGGAAGAATCCAGAAGGCTATTGTCCATGGGTCACGAAGAGTGCTGATGACTGAGCACTTGAGCACAAAGATATAAAGATAAATGAAAATATTAATATAAATTATAAAAGGAAACTCTAGTAGTGATAACTACAGAAAATATAACCTTAAAATCAAAAGATCCTTTAATATAGTGAAAAGTCAACCAAAAGGTGTTTTCAGCAAATTTAACTGCCAAAATATTAGTATGAAGAAATTATCCAAAAAAAAAACAATTTTCTAGAAGTCAATAAAAGAGAGAGAAAGAAAAAAGACAATGAGCCTATCTAAATGAGGGATTGCTAATTAAAACAATAACTTGGGGGTGGTGGTGTAGTCTCTAAGTGGTGTCTGACTCTTTGTGACCCCATAGACTGTAGCCCACCGGGTTCCTCTGTCCATGTGATTCTCCAGGCAAGAATATTGGAGTGAGTTGCCATTCTTTCCTTTGGGGGATCTGTTTTGTTTTATTTGTAATAATTTTGTGTATTTGTCTGGGCTTCCCAGGTGGCTCGGTGGTAAAAGAATCCGCCTGCCAGTGCAAGAGACTCAGGAGACATGGCTTTGATCCCTAGGTTGGGAAGATCTCCTGGAGGAGGAAATGGCAACTCACTCCAGTATTCTTGCCTGGAAAATTCCATGGACAGCAGAATCCAGAAGGCTATTGTCCATGGGTCACGAAGAGTGCTAATGACTGAGCACTTGAGCACAAAGATTTAAAGATAACTGAAAATATTAATATAAATTATAAAAGGAAACTCTAGTAGTGATAATTACAGAAAATATAACCTTAAAATCAAAAGATCCTTTGATATAGTGAAAAGTCAACCAAAAGGTGTTTTCAGCAAATTTAACTGCCAAAATATTAGTATGAAGAAATTATAAAAAAAAATAACAATTTTCTAGAAGTCAATAAAAGAGAGAGAAAGAAAAAAGACAATGAGCCTCTCTAAATGAGGGATTGCTAATTAAAACAATAACTTGGGGGTGGTGGTGTAGTCTCTAAGTGGTGTCTGACTCTTTGTGACCCCATAGACTGTAGCCCACCGGGTTCCTCTGTCCATGTGATTCTCCAGGCAAGAATATTGGAGTGAGTTGCCATTCCCTTCTCCAGGGGATCTTCCTGATCCAGGGATCGAACCCGGGTCTCCTGCATTGCGAGTGGATTCTTAACCAACTGAGCCACCAGGGAAGCCCTGGAACAATGATATGCATTCCAAATATATCAGATATGGAAAATTTAAGAATGTCAAATACTGGTTAGAGATGCTCAGATAAGTACTTTCAGGGGGGATATAAATGGATCTGAATACTTTATAAAGAAATTTGTGCATGTCTGATAAAGATGCACA